GGGCATTCACCCAAAGCACCTGGTAGCTGCACCACAAAGTGGGGAGGCATCTGTAAAGTAAGCATTTCTACGTACCTAGGTAGTCAAAAATCTTTGAAAAGCCCAACAAACCTTTTCTGGCTCTTCATAAACCCTCTCCACTGGTTTTTTGTTCTCAATTTCTTGTACTCTATTCCACGAAGCTTCATGTTGGGTATCAAGCTGTAGTGATTTGATTGGAGCGCACTTGACGGTGCAAGAAGTAGCAGCTTCTCCGAACTGGGAGACGGCCTAGAAATTTTTTTTAGAATTTTACCAAAATAAAAATCTGGAGATGCTTAGATGTTTGCTCTAACTCGAGCAGTCTAAAAGGGGTCCTTTAAACTAGTAACTCACCTTGCAAGTGTATACCCCAGAGTCTTCTGGGTACAGTCCCAAGATATCCAAACTGACATAGTCGAAATTCCTGGCTGGCATAAAACGACTCGCTTCTGGTAGTGGGTTTCCATTAATTGTCCAGTACACCTTGAACAAGTACCGATTGATGACGTCACTTTTGAAATTTGAAAATCTCGCATCAAGTCACTCACTTTCATTGTAGGATCATTGACAGGTACCAAACGGCAGTCAAGTCGTACGGCATCCGATTCTGTTGCATCGTCGACGTTCTGAATGAAATTACGATAATTGAGATTTTCTGCAGTTACGGAACTAGTACAACTCACCTTGAGTTGTTCAGTAAATTGTGGTGGTGGGAAGGACATTTCCGGTGATGGTTCACGAATTTCTTCACGATTCTCCATCTCTTGAATCTTCGCCCATGATGTTTCATGTTGCGTATCGAGGTAAAGATTTCGTCTTGCTGAAAATCGATAAAATCAATAGATGCCTAATTGATCAATGTGCCCATTATCAATTCTTATAAAATTCTTACGTCTGCATTCAAGTTTAAATCGAGTTTCAGCGGTTCCAGCTGCGTTCGTAGCACGGCAGATGTATGTTCCAGTATCTTCTGGATGAACATGGAGGAATTCCAAGCCCACGTAACCGAAGTCATGAATGGTTCGAATGCGGGATCCAAACATCAGCGGGCGTTCATCGCAGAACCATTCGATCTGGAAATATATCAAGCTCAGCTGGATAGGAAGTTCGAGGTAATTCAGCTAGAATTTTTCAAAAAATTTCTTCATTAGCTTTGAGTGAAAGAAACTGAAGCAAGATGTTTTGCAAAAAAGTAGCTACTTAATTTGTAAAACGAAATTGCTAACTAATCTAAATATT